TATATATTATTATTGACTTATGTTCGGAAGTAAAATAGGGACCAGTGAGGAGAATACATGAGAATCTATCTCTTATCCAAAATGGACAACAGTTTCTTTACATGCTTTAATTTAGGTAATGACACAATGCGAATATATAAATTTACAAATGTCAATACTTGTTTGCCTGTATACACACATATTTGGGTAAATACATGTATATATTTTCATAATTAATATTGGTTATTTTGTGATGCTTTTGAAATATATGTAGGAATTTTTCAAGGCAGCTAGAAATTTTTATCTCCAATTTGAGATATTAAAATTTTATATGATGAGATACTCGTTTTGAGTTTTTTTCCCCCGAATCGAATCTCTCTTCCCAACAACGAGTAAACAACGTGTATCATCATCACGTGATACTTTGCGACTAAGACATTCACATTTCTTTCACACTTTGCGAAAAAATAATCATATAATTACTGTTCATTCTTACACAAAGTTTTCCCAATTCTTTCACATTTTTATGTATGTGAATATAGTTTTAAATCGGGGGAATTTTAAAAATACATGTTTTGGTGTGTTGATGTTCAAAATACTATCATAAATTGACTATTTTCAATATAAAAAAAAACCTAACCGTTGTTTGAGAGAGATAGAAAAGAGAGATTTTTTGGTTGACAACTCTAGCGGCTTTCATAGCGCCGGAGTTGTGTTTTTGTTAGTTTGTGTTTCATATGGTTATGTTAGTTACAAATCAAAGATCCTATGTGATTTTTGCTTCTTTTTTTTTTTCTACGGTGGTTATTCTTCTCTATTAGTTGACGTTAAGTTGGCGAAAAGATAGATGATCTAGATCCGGAAAGGTAATAATTCTAATATTCGTTTTCTCTATTTTGAAAGATTTTTTGCAGAGATCTAGTTGTTTTGGAAACTTTAAAAGTACAAAGGAAGACTGTGGAGGTCGAAACCTACTCAATTGAATTTGTCAAGGGGTTTTAAAGGAAACGAGATCTCTGGGAAAGAATC